GTTCTCATTTCCAGGAGGGAGTGGAAAAATAACAGCAGAGCCCTTCGGATCTAAATGCGGTCCCCGGAGCAAAGGTCACGGCAGAAATGTTTTACTCGGCATCGGAACTTTTGGAATTCTTTCAAGGAGAAGAAAAAGCCCAACAACAACAACAGGGTTGGGGTTTTTTTTTCCCACTGAACTGTTCCTTCCTTTTCAAACATAGATGGAAATTCAAGGGGTTTGGTGAACGTTGGGGAATTTCCCCAGCAGGTAAAAATAGAACAGGGGGAAATGTAAAAATATTATAAAAATATTATAAAAATAKTATAAAAATATTATAAAAATATTATTTAAAAAAAAACACCTTAGGAAATCACCGCAGAACTTTATTCGAACCACCTTTGGTGCTCTGAGAGCCAAACCGAGTCCAGGAGGAGTAATGACCAAGAAATTTTCCTTTGTAGAAAGAGGCGGAGCAGTCCAGACCCAAAATTGCCTCTCAACCCATCCACTCAGCACCAGCTCCAGGGAAAAGGGACCCTTGAATAGAATAATTCACGGGAAAATATTTTTTCCCTGGATTTCCTTATTTTCTGCCGCCCTTCMGGAGCCCTGGGATGAGTTCTCCTCTTTGCCCATTTTCCCAATCTGAAATTGGGATTCCAACCACAGTGAGTTTCACGAGGCAGCTCATTGAGCCCACCCCAAAATAATCCAAATTTTTGAGGTGCCAGTCCGTGGTTGAACAAACTGCTGCTCTCCCTGTCTGTGTTATCGACCCAAAAATTGGCAAAAAACCCAAACCTGGAGCTGGGACTGAGCCACCCCCAAAATCATCATTCCACACAAAATTACCCACAATCGCCAAAGTGTCAGGTTTAAAGGCATTTCTGGGTTTTCATCTTTTCTTTCCTCCCCACATTTTTATAAAAATATTGGGGTTTTTTTTTGTTAAAGGGATATTTCTGGAGCTGTCAGGCTTGCTCCGAGCTTTTCCCACCCCAGAAATCCACTTGGATCCTCTCCCCGGTGAGGGCAGAACATTCCGGAAGCACCCACGGGATATTCGGTCACAATAAAAACCAAGCACCACTTCATTCAAAAATATAAACATCAATTCCATCAAGATCCCCAAACAGCAGCCACAGTGAGAAATTCAAAGTGAAAAACCAACAATTTTTGGGTTGATTTTGCAGGAAAACGAGGATTGGTCTCCTACCTGTCRATGATCACRGGGTCGGACGGGGTCTCRTTTCTGTTGCCACAACTTTTCTTCTCACAGCACCGACTGCAGAGGGAAAAAAACCAAAATTAAAGAACTGAGAGCAAAGAACCAGCACAGAAAACTCTCCCTCACAGCCAAAATTGTGAAAATTCTGCTTTTCCAGAAGGGAAAAATGAAGAGAATTGGGTGCCCAAGATCTGGTTGGCTCCAGTGGGAGTTTGGCATTCCCCGTGATCCATTCTGGATTTCCAGCCAGAAATGAGCAGCAGAATGGTCACATTTGCCAGAAATGAGCAGCAGAATGGTCACATTTCTCAGAAATGAGCAGCAGAATGGTCACGATGGACACCCAGGTGAGATTTGTGAAGGGAAGTGATTGACAGACGTCAAAATGTCATTGCAGGCAGGAAAAAAACAGATTATGGAGGGATCGAATCCATCAGAAGGGGTTGGAACTGACTGTGAGCAGCCTGATGGCTTGGGTTATTCCAATAATGTTATTTTTTTAATATATATTATTAATTTTTTTTTAATTAAATATCTCAGTTTTACATGAAAACGTCAACGCCGTATGAAAAACCAGAAACTGAAAGTTTCCGAGATCTTACAAAGGGTTTAAAGAGAAGTTTTTCAGGTGGGCTTTTGCAATCCCTTTGCAATTGTTTCGGCTACAAACCCTTAAATATTCATTTACACACATTTTATTGCGATATTAACAATAAATAATCACAAAAATTATGAAATCAAGGGACAGGCCATGATTTTATTTCCATTGATGCAATCACTGACRTGAGTGATGCTCCTTCCACCCACAGCAGCTGAGCAGCAGAAGTTTAACAGATTTTGAAACCAATCCTTGCTCTGAAATCATCAATTTTAATTTTAATAATTTGAAAAATCGAAGATTTAAGTTCAGGTTTTTTGTTCCAGCCGAAGCCAACACAGGAGCGGGGAGGATGGAGGCCCCAAAAACTTTCAAAAGCTTCCACCAAAAGCCCCACATCCCCCAAAAGTCACCAGGTTGGGTTCTGATCCCAAAAAAAGCCTTTCCAAAGGAGTTTTCCCCGATTCTGCAGAGGTTTCTGTTCAAATTCGCACAAATTTTGGTTMGAATTTCTTCATGGGATGGAGAAATTGCTTGGGGTTTTTTGCACAGGGGTGCTGAATGTGTCTGCAAATTCCTCACGTGGTCTGGATACCCCGATTTTCCAACCAGGGAGCAGTTCCAAGTGCAATAAACCAAATAAATACATTAAAAAATAAAATAAATATATAAAAAAATCTTTATTCACCAAAGGCAGTATAAAATACAATAGTGGGGATTTTTTTGTGATGTAACGCAATGTAAAATGACATCATTTTTTTCTCCATGTCCAATATTCAATCACAAACACCAAAAATGAACATTTAGCCAAAACCCTCTTSCAGCTGGGAAAAATCCCAACATTTCCCTCTGAGTTTTTGGGAAGCTCCTGCTCTGGGGTTGGAATTGCCCAGTTCCAGCTCTGTTTGAACAGCAGCTCCAAAACTCCTCCAACATTCCTACATCCCTCCTTTCCTCAAACCTGCGCTTACCCATCCGTGCTGCTCCTTTTAAAATAAAAGGAAACACTAAATATTTAAAAATCCCCGGGGCAGCCCCTGGAGCTGCTGTAAATTGTCACAGCTCCATCGACTTCAGCGCCGCTCGGGTAATTCACACCRGCTCAGAACATCACCCTCCTCCTCCTCACAACTTTATTTTAAGTGGATTTTTTATGGATTTTGCTGCCTGATCGTTATTTAGGAAGAATTGCGGGGTTTTGTACCAGGAGCTGAGGTTGGAGATGTTTTTTAAAGGAGAAAATAATGATCAACCAACTAAAAAAAAAGCGGAAAATCATCTCAAAAGAATATAAATTTGGGATGTGTTTATGGCTGATGGAGCAAGAAAAATAATGGAAAATAATATTGGGAATTAAAACCTTGCTGCTCTACAAGTGAAGAACTGTAACAAAGCAAAAAAACAAAAAAAAAAGATATTAAAAATATTTCTGTGGCACTTCCAGGGATGGTGCCACTTCTTGGGCATTTGAATTCTGTGAGATTGAGCCCAACTTGGCTGAGTTCAGAAAAAAAGAGAATCTCTTTTTTATTTCCATTCCAACCATCCTTGCAGTTCTGAACTTAGTAATATTCAAATATTGTCCCCCTAAAACTCTGGCTTAAAGCTGAAAGTCTCCAAATTTTTCATCGATTTCTGCATTTCTATCACTCCTGGGGGACAGATCTTTGTTAGTGAGGGACTTTYCCCAAAAAGATGAAAAATAAAAGTCTTGATGGGGAAGAAGAGCCACGTTCAGCGTTTGCACACGAATCAGAGTGGGTCTGAGGAGGTTTCGGCCCAACATTTTAGCAGAAATCCTTTTTTCATCTCTAAATTCTCATTCCCAAATATTTCACCCCATATCCRAGCACGGCCAGTCCCACTGGGTCAGTTCTATGACCGGTTCCAATTTCAAAAAAAATCCAAAAAACCCCAACTTTGGTGCTCCAGGATGAAGCCTCCAATATTTTCTTTGAGCAAATTATCACCGTGACTTCACCAAAATCTGCATTTCTGCTGCAATGCTGASCGGGGACACCTTTAGAGGTGTTTAATTGCTTAAAATGAGAAGATTGAGGCTTAAGATGATTTTTTACAGCTTTTGTTGGATGGTTTCCCCTGTAATTAGATCTAAATGGGGAAAATGATGGCTGGTGTTAAGAATGGCCCAGAAAAAACCTAAAACCAAACCCAGAACCAACCCCAACTCTAAAAACGAAACACGCCAAAGTCAAATCTCTGCCCGTTGCACTAAAAGTGCTTAAAATTCACCCTCAACTTTTCCTCCCCGAAGAAAAAAAACCCCAAAAAAGAAGAAAAACCAAAAAAACCTCAAAATCTGTCTCTAATTTCAAATTGAAGCTTGCAGCATGGTACCAAACTCAGAACCAACCCAGAGCCAACCGAATACGCCAAAACCAAGTGTCCATCCATCGGGCTAAAAACACTTTGAAAATTCACCCCTCAACTTTCCCTCCCCAAAACACACTCAAAAAAACCCAAAAAACCCCAAAAATCTGTATCTAATTTCAAACTCAAACTTGCAGCATGGTATCAAACCCAGAACCAACCCAAAACCCTACCAATTGAACACGCCAAAGTCAAACGTCCATCGTGCTAAAACTGCTCTAAAATTTCCCCCTCAACTTTCCCTCCCCGAAACACGCCCCCCAAAAAAACCAAAAAACCAAAAAATCTGTCTCTAATTTCAAACTCAAGTTTGCAGCATGGTACCAAACCCAGAACCAACCAAACACTCTAAAGCCAAACCTCCACCCATCACGCTAAAAACACTTTTAAAATTCACCCTTCAAATTTCCCTCCACAAAAACAAACAAAAAACCAAAAAATCTGTCTCTAATTTCAAACTGAAACTTGCAGCATGGTACCAAACCCAGAACCAACCAGAACCAACCCCAACTCTACCAACAGCACACGCCAAAGCCCAACCTCCACCCATCATGCTAAAAACGCTTTTAAAATCCACCCCTCAACTTTCTCTCCCCAAAACAGCCCCCCCAAAAAAACAAAAAACTGTCTCTAATTTCAAACTCAAGCTTGCAGCATGGTACCCAACCCAGAATCAACTCCAACCCAACCAACAGAGCACACCAAAGTCAAACATCCATCGTGCTAAAAATTTTAAAATTCATCCCTCAACTTTCCCCTTTCCCTCCCCAAAACACCCCCCACCAAAAAAAAACAAAAAAACAAAAGATCTGTCTCTAATTTCAAACTCAAGATTGCAGTATGGCACCAAACCTAGAACCAACAACAACCCTACCAACCAAACACTCCAAAGCCAAACCTCCGTCCATCACTCTAAAAACACTTTTAAAATTCATCCTTCAACTTTCCCTCCCTGAAACACCACCCC